CTGGAAAACAAAGATCTTTCCAATCTAATCACTATTTTGAAGAAGATATAAAGTTGATCATTGATATCTATCAATATACCTCTTGTATGAATACTGTTTTTTAATTTACTGATCAAGGGATGAAATATATTTCAGATGACATTTGATGTAGTCTGTCATTTTTCAATGAGTATAAGAGGACAGTTACTCTAATATCATACGGATGTTACTCGGACATGATGTCCGTGTAACATTGGTAACTGGAGGTGTTGAGGTGAATATAGACCATAAATCTTGCAGGTTTCCTTTCAATTGTGTTATCATCTCATTAAATATGTTTCATGCATCAATTAATTAGCACATTTCTTGGAATGTAGCCAAGATTTTCTATGCAAGAGAAAAGATTACCCTTTAGAAAAAAAACATGATCTGAAAATTGCTAGTTCCTCATTTGTTTCATGTTTATAAATTGATATAATGTTGCTGTGTTCAAGTTTTAAGTATTCTAAACTATTGCTCCCATCATCTAAATGTTTTCCACACACAAAAAGGTGGAGTACAGACTGTGACAAAGTTTCAGATCAGAAAATAAATGAGCAAGTAAAAAAAAGATGTCCTTGTAACGTTGGTTTTTTGGTGTGTCTGTTTTTTCATTTTAAATGAAAGTGTGCGAAGGAATACACACAATTCCAGTGGAATCTATTGAAGAATGGGTGTTGAAAACAGGATATAACAATATAAAAATTATTCAACAACTCTGAATTTTGAACCTTCATGTCACAATTTATGACCCAACCCGATGGAATGACCCATAGATGTGTTTGACGTTTCCTGGGCCTATGTGTAGTACTTTGCGCTTTTGTGTTGAAGTGCATTTGCCATGTATTGCTCCATTCCATTAGTGCATCAAGGTCAGATTGGATTGAGCACAGATCATCTTTGGTGGATGCTTTGCCATACAGTTTAGTGTCGTCAGCATAGATCTTGACAGACCCTTGAAGTCCATCTGGTAGGTCATTGATGCACAAGACAAACATTGTTGGGCCGAGAACACTACCCTGCGGCACTCCGCTCCTTACTTTTGTCCAGTCAGATAATTTATCATTGACTCTAACTCTCTGGCATCTACCTTGGAGGAAGTCTGCTATCCATTCCTTAATTTGGCCACATATACCGTATGTCTCAAGTTTTGATAGAAGGCGAAGGTGAGGTACACTATCGAAAGCTTTCTTGAAGTCTAAGTATACCACATCAATAGGGGTTCCTTTATCCAGCATCTCAGTCCATGCCTCCATGACAGTCAGAAGCTGTGTCACACAAGAGCGTCCTGGAACAAAGCCATGCTGTTCATCACACAGTAGGTCATTTTCCATCAGGTGGGCAACTATCTCATCTCGAATTAGTGACTCCAGAATTTTGCATGGTACTGATGTCAAGCTGATTGGTCTGTAGTTCTTAACATCCATCTTACTGGCTTTCTTGTGGACAGGTACCACATGACTGACCTTCCATGCACTTGGTAGTTTGCCTTCCTTCAATGATGCATTGTAGATTATGGAGAGGGGCTCTGAAACTGAGGCGGCTGTTTCTTTTAGAACGCAAGGGTGAATGCCATCAGGTCCTGCACATTTGTACTTTGACAGGTGGACAAGCTTCTTATAAACATCATCTTCAGAGATTGAGATAGATGTCAATGTCTCTCCTTTGTGTCTTGGTGGGAGTTTTGGAATGTGCCCTTTATCCTCATCAGTGAATGTAGTGGCGAAAAAGGTGTTCAATGCATCCGCTTTTCCTTTATCAGTTGATATTCGTTCACCGTCCGGAGTTCTGAGTTCGCCTAGTCTGCAAGAGGTTTTGAGTTTGCTATTTGTATACCTCCAGAATGCCTTGGGATTTGATTTCACATTCATACATAACTGCTTGGTCAGAGTTTGCAGCTGCTTGGCTAATCTCCTTGCTCTCATAATGTCCACAGGATGTTTGGTCCTCTGTGCCTCTTTCCAAGCTCGATGTTTCTGGCTTTGTTTCCTCAGTGCCTCTCTAGTCATCCATCTCTGTTTCTTTCTGCGGTGTTTGGGTTTTGACTTCGGTATGAACTTCTCCATTTTTTCAGTCAGGGTGACTAAAAAGAACTCCCAAGCATCCTCTACACTTTTATTCTCCAATTCAGATTCCCACTCGATTTGGTCTAGCTCTTTACACATATCATCATACTGCCCTCTGTAAAACTGGAGGTGAGGAGTTGGGGTGTGGGTGTCTGGTGTGTATACTGTAAGGCCAAAGAGGATTCCAATATGATCACTTCTTCCAATTCCAGGTACATAGTCTATGTGGTTGATCATGCCGTCCTCGTTCGTGAAAACCAGATCTAGCATACTGGAACGCTGGCCTTCTCTGTATCTGGTATGTTCCCCAATGTGTTGGTGTAGATAACAGTCAGCGACCGTTTCAATGAACTCCTGTTCAGTATGGGACCTTGCCCTTCCAAGCTTCCAATCAATGTTGGGATAGTTGAAGTCTCCTGCTATTAGGACATGGGAGGAGTTGATTGATGTGACTTGTGTAAATGCTCGTTTCAGTTCCTCATGGTTGTCTAGTGATGGGCTTCTGTACATGCATCCAATCAGTAGTTTGTCTGAGCCTCTTAGAGTAATTAAGATCCACACTGACTCATGGAAACTGTGCTGCAAATCACATTCACCGACAAGGTGGTAAAGATCTCTTGCGATATAAATTGCAACTCCTCTATTTCCATCCTCCAGATTGCAGTGCAAATCATATCCCTCTAAAATGAAGTCTCTATGTGTAAGGGGATTTTGGTGGTTCTTAGGGAAAACTTCTGTCAGCAAGACAAGATCGACGTCATGTGATTGTAGAAGAAGAAGTAGCTCGTTTCGTTTGTTCAGAAGTGAGTCACAGTTTGTGTAGAAGATTTGTAGCTTCCTATCTCTGAGTTTCCTTTTGAACTTGCTTTGTTTACCTCTATCTGTATCAGTATCTCCGTCTCTTCCATCATGACTGTGATCACCATTGACAGAGCTATTATCATCATCATTACTCTCCAAATTAATTTGAGTGCTGTCATCTTCACTGTCACTTTCAGTGAAAAAATCAGAGCTTTCTGACATCAGGCTTGAGTTCATGTGGTCAGTACTTCTCATGGGACTTCTGTAACAGCTTCTTCTCTCATCATTGTCACTATATCTCTCAGTACTTTCATCTTCTTGTATTACACCTTTCTCGTTATCAGCTTTAACAATATTGGTGATATTCCCCTCTCCCAAATCTCTGATACTCATGTCAATGTGGGATTGCTGACATGAGGGAATCCTGTTACATGTACACATGTCATTTTTGTAGTATCCCTTTGCTTTAAAAATGTCCCTTGTGACATTATCAGCACTGCTGCTCTTCATTTCTCTTCCTATTTGTATTGGATATCTTGTAGCTGGTTTTGAAAGATTCTTGCAATTCCATTCAGCAGTTTCTTTTACTGCTGTATTACTGTGGGGTGATTGCAGATTGTAGTCTGTGCATTGATGTGTTAGCTGACCATCTATTACTAGGGCTCCTGTTCTATTTGAGTCTATACGTTGCATTTGATTCAGGCACTTGTAGTTGACCAGCTTTGCACAGGAGTCATCACTTATCTTGTTGCATTTCTCATGTTTGCCGCGTCTATGCTCATACCTCTCATCATTGTTAAAGTCTGTTTTCTCTTTCCTTGTAGCACTTTTCATTTGTTCGCCCTCTGCATACACAAATTCATACTCTGCTTCTGTTTCTTGATATTGCGGTAATCTTTCCTTATCTTTCATGGAGTCTTTCATTGTTTGCTCTAGTCAGATTAAAGCAGGATGCTCCTTTCCTTGTGAATGGGGGTGTTTTCTGCTCTCACTACTTGTTGTTTTTGTCATCATTTCTCCACCTTCCATCTTTTCTCCACCTTGCATCTCTTCTGCATCATGCTTCTTTTCTGTACTGTGCACCTTTTCTGCCCTTTGAACATTCTCTGCAACTTGGGTCTTTTCTGCACCTTGCATCTTTTCGGCTCCATACATATTTTCTGCACCTGGCATCTTTTTGGCTCCATACATCTCTTCGGTTCCATGCATCTTTTCTGCACCTTGCATCATTTTTACATCTTCCATCTTTTCTGCACCATACATCTTTTCTGCACACTGCACTTTCACTGCAAGTTTTATCACCTCTGTACCTTGCAACTTTTCTGAAGGAACATCAAATTTGGAAGTGGTAGACTTCCTTTGCCTTTGTGTTATCTGCTCTGCATTCACATCTTCATTGATTGGAGTGGGTATCCTTGGAGACATTGAGGTACCTATAAAAGGAGATGCTTGGTAACGTTTGGTTATTCTCCCTTTTCTAATTATGCAGTCTTCACCCATGTCTCTCCTTGTTTTCAGCTCCTTGCGCAATTTACAAGTTCAACGCTCATGCGCTGACATTGCCGCGCATCTGAAAACATTGATGACGCAATGTTTACGTGCAAATTAAAATGGCGGCCTTAAAGATAAACTTTAGTACTGGTAAAAAAAGAAAATTAATTCTCACAGAATCAAACGAAACTTACACTGAATGTTCAAGATTACAAATAAATGACATGTGCCAAACAATTTTGGAAGAAAATGTATACTGGCTGAGTAATTAGCATATATAAAGACAAGGAAATCAAGGTAGTACTAGCCCCGACACCATGTGTGTTGTCCCATATATAGCTTTCTGTGTTACTTTACCAAGACTCGGTCAAATTTATTATGATTTTGATGACTCCAGAACCTTGCAGTGCACACCAATACTTACATGCTACATGATCAACTGTTTCTGATCCTTTCAACACCATTTCTTTCACAATGCAATCGCATGACCAGTACTAAAGTTTATCTTTAACCATGAAAGGTTGTAATGCCCATTTGACATTTTGAGATTTGAGTACATTCTGCGAAGACTGTGATGATGATCTCACAAATGAACAAAGATTTTATTGCCCTACCAGCCAGGCAATGTCACCAGGGCCAGGTTGGGCCTCTGCTAACGTTGAGCCTCAGTGTAGTCCCCTTTATGATAAATTTGTAGGATTTTACACTGTACTGTCCTCCCATGCCTAGATTTAATGACCAAAATACACTCTCCCTTGATATTGTTTTTAGAGGTAACCCGATGATGTCCTGGAAAAGTAGACGGCTAGAGAGAAAAACCTAATGACGATGTCGAGCCTTAGGCCAAGTTGGGGTAGGCCCACCCATCTTTAGAAGCTAAATTATAACATTTGTAGGATTATACTGATTTAGTGCTGGTATGCCTAGATAATGTAATGATAATCATAACATAAAAAATAATAAAAACATGCAATGTAATATTCCTTGATTTTGTTGTTTTTCAGAGCTTACCTGCTGAAGTCCAGAAAGGGTATACAGCTAGAGCAAAAGAGAAGAAATTTGGCCAAGGAACCTCAGGTTATGAAGGGAAGTTAGATTGTACAGGACAGCTCGTTACAGTAAGTTTCCATTCCTTTTTTTTTCAGATCGTGTTTGGTCTGCTTAGATCAGAGTCATCATTCATCAGATCAAAATAATCATTTAATTTCCTCTGTAAAACAATCCATACAAAGATCTGTGACAAATTATTATGGTAAATAAAAGAGGTGGGACCAACAGGCCTTAAATTTCAATATTTTTAGGGCAAGGCCACTTTTCTGTAGGGCACATTCCTATATTACAGCACAAATAGGAAGAATTGAAAAGGGCACAAAAAATCTCCAAGGCCAATGAGAGGGGCATTGAGGCCAATGAAAGGGGCATCCAAGGCCATGGCCTTGGTGGCCTTGGATTAATTTAAGCCCTGGACCAAGCTGCAGGATCAATAATGTCCAAATGTCGAAAACCAATTGAATATGTTAACTATTGGCTAAGATATGACCATCTGAATAAAAAGATTGCCTATGGGAACTCAGTGTTATATGCTCTGGCTCCTAACCATTCAAATGGTCATATCTCAACCGATACTTAACCCATTCAATTGGTTTTTGACATCTGGACATTATTTTTGATGCATTTTCAGAAAATGAGGAAAAAATTGAGAAATTCCAAAAATAGAATTTTGATGACGTCACACTTGACCACTCTATTAGGTCTTGATGCAATAATAATAATGGTGGCTTCTTATATAGCGCACATGTCCATCACATTGTGACGCTCCTGGCGCTGCCCCGATTATTACCCTGGAATTAATTCCTGCCAGGTACCCATTTACATAACCTGGGTTGAGTGTGGAAAATGTAGATCAATGTCTTGCCAAGGGACATTAGTGCTGTGGCGGGACTCGAACCCGGACCTTGTGATCGAAAGTCCGGTGACATATCCACTCGATATCATTGTGGTCACAAGTTCTCCGTGATTATTATCAATGGGTATTATTATTGTTACCATTGTTATTTCTGTCCTCCTTGCAGGTACCTTTTTGTGCAATAATGAGAACGAGAGGAAGATGGCGAGGGTCTCTGAGAAAACTGTCTCTCTCTGGTAAGTTTTACTCTATTTCATCGAGCACCATGTATGAAGTAAAGTTGAATCAGAGAAATCACCTGTCATGTGGCAAATTTGTTATGCTCTCTGAATTTGCAACTTATCGGGAAATTACATGTATGTCATATCTAACTTTATGTATCAGTTGGTTCGCATGGTATCAGATCGGATTAAAAATTGCATTAAATCCCCATACCTCTACGGAGTTTGGAAGTCAGTGTGATACGTGACGTTATGTATAGCGAGTATTTCATCAGTTTAAGTCGAACCTAACTCTAAGTTGGACTCAAAAATTATGGAGAGCCATTTGTAGCCGTAAAATAAAATATATTGAAAAGCATAAATTTGAGTATTTTTGACTTTTCATAAATTCCACATCAAGAACATAAAATCTCCTTGATAATAGAAAATATGAATGATCTGAATCAACATATTATGCCTTTAAAAATAAATTTTACACAATATTTTCAAAGATGCTAACAGCTTTATATAATTGTCAAGTCCAACTATAAGATAAGTTCAAGTTAGGATCTTTGTGAAACACAACACAGGTTTATAATTGAAGAACAATGTGTCTCATTCTCTTGTTTCTTTCAGGACCTACGTCAATCGTCCTCAGATTCTGCAGACGTTCTTCAACCCGCTCTACCAGCCAAACCAGCAGGTCATCTGGCCATCGGTTGCTCCACAGAGCCTGGTAAGCTTTTAGACTCTCCTCCTAGCTATCGTTCTATCTATCTATCTATCTATCCACCCATCCATCTATATATCTGTCTATCTACATGTATCTATCTATCTAACCAGCAGGTCATCTGGCCATCGGTTGCCCCTCAGAGTCTGGTAAGCTTTGGGACTCTCCTCCTAGCTATCATTCTATCTATCTATCTATCTATCTGTCTATCTATATTTCTATCTATATATCTATCTATCTATCTATTATCTATCTATCCATCTATCTATCTGTCTTTCTGTCTATATATCTATCTATCTATCTTTCTATCTATCTATCTATATATATTTATCTATATATCTATTGATCTATCTATCTATCTATCTATCTATCTTTCAATCTATCTATCTATCTATCTATCCATCCATCCATTCATCCATCTTTCTTTCTATCTATCTATATATCTTTCTATCTATCTATCTACGGAATCTATCGTTCTACCTATCTATATATTTAAATTTAAATATTTGAGTGTGATACAAGAATATATTGCTCTTGCTATCACAATTTTGGACGAGTCAAAGACGAGTCTAATATTGTCTTAGTGAGAGCAATAATCGTCCTATAGCTCTAACATGTAGTATTATGAAATGTCTTGAGAAAATTGTTCTGAAACGTTTGCTGAATCAAGTCTCCCCCTTCTTAGATCCCATGCAATTTGCTTACAGGAAAAATAGGGGCGTAGAAGATGCAGTTTTGATACTCTTGCACAAACTGTATTCCCACTTAGACACAATGAAAACGTACACGAGATCAGTTTTCATAGATTTCTCTAGCGCATTTAATACCTTGATACCACACCTGCTTACTAGGAAGTTCAGTAATTTAAATGTACACCCACAACTTATAATGACAATACAAGACTTTCTGTTGTGTAGATGTCAGCAGGTGAAAATAGGAAAGCTAATCTCATGTGTTCGTTCTATCAGTACTGGTGTACCTCAGGGATGCGTACTATCCCCAGTGCTCTTTTCCATTTACACCAATGATTTCGTGAGCACTGACGACAATTGTTCTATGATTAAATATGCCGATGATACGGTGATTACAGGGTATATTTCAGATGATAATACTGAACGTTATTTTTCATTGATCCAACAGTTTGTTGAATGGTGTGACAGGCACCACTTACAACTAAATGTAGCAAAAACGAAGGAGATCGTAATAGATTTTCGTAAGAGAACTGTAGTGGATCATGCACCCCTTTGTATTCACGATTCCGTAGTCGAGCAGGTTAGCGAGTACAAATATCTTGGCACTACTATATCATGTAAATTGGATTGGTCAAAAAATGTCAACATTATCCAGAAGAAAGCAAATCAAAGGCTTTATTTCCTTAGACAACTTAAGAAACTCCACATAGATAATACACTTCTTGTTCTGTTCTATAAATCAATCATTCAGTCTATCTTGACATTCAATCTCATTTGTTACTTTCGTAATGGAACACGTGCTAGCAAAAGGAAAACAGAAAGAATAAGGAAAATTGCTCAGCGCATCACCGGTTTGGAATTGCCCAGTTTAGAAAGTATATATGTTGATCGTACATTGCTGAAGATTACTCGTATTATGAAAGACCCGTCACATCCTTTGTTCCATAATTATAATTTCAACCGTTCAGGAATTCGCCTCTGCGTTCCCCGCACTAGGCGGGAACGCTTCAGACGCTCATTTGTACCAGATTCAACTCACATGTTCAACAGTATGGTAAAACGAGGGCAATCAATGTAGACACTGTACCCTTTTTATTTTATTGCTTTCCTCCATTCCTATACAAGTAGTCAGATCTTATTTTTAGATGAAACGCCATTGATGTTATGTTGTTATTATGTTTTATAATCTGTTTAATTTTGTACATTTCCTTGTAACACACAATTGTACCAGTGAACAATGAATTTCCATATTATGGACAATAAATCAATTCAATTCATATATTCTTGTATCACATGAAAACAAAGCCATACAATATTATTATTATTATCTATATCAGGCTGACTAGCGAAATAAGAACATTTGACTTATCTCTGTAAATATGGCTTTATTTTGTGCGATATCGATATCATTAGTTGAAGTTTCCGGATGACTGAGCAATACGAAAACAATATTGGTCAGTCATCAGGGTACTGCGCTAAAGATATTGAATACACTGATTTATTGTACCACTTGGAAGCCTTATATAGATAATAAATATATATATCCATCTATACTTATATATATATATACATGTATATATCTATTTACCTTTCTATCTATCTATCTATCTACCGGTATCTATCTTTCTATCCATCTATCTTTTCATGTCACATTTCCATTTCCACAGTATTATCTAGTATATGTACATGACTGTAATTTGTGTACAAGCGTCCAATTTTATATATTGATTTGATGTGGTAGTAGTAATTGTAGGAGTTGTAGTAGTAGTAGTAAGTTATCATCATTATTATTGTATATATATATATATTGATTTGATGTACTAGGCATTATGGTCAAGCCTCTACATGAGATGGACGATGAGTGACACGGCTACTCGCATACCCACACAGGTCATCACAGACATCAAACAGAGCGACAAGGAACTGAGGTTAAAGGTCAACGAACTGAGAAGGTATGTACATGTAACAAAGAGGCTCATCTAAATGGTAGTGTTGATTATAATCTGATTACAAAATTTTCCTTGCAAATTTTTGAACTACAAACATCTGTTGGACTTTAATTTCCTTTTTCTTTGATTTGGGACATAAAGGGGGCACATAGGCTTCAAAAAATCATATTCTCCGAAATTATTGCTGCTATCTCACCTCTTTCCTCACTATTTTTCTCTCTAATAAAAACAATTCCTGTGGCTGAAGGCTCTATTTCTTCCAGTCATGTTCTGGGAAGTATTAGATATAAGAGATATTTTAGACAATTCTTGATATCCAATCGAGTTTAGTGATCATAGACTAGTTCTGCCGTTTCTGGTTAAGAATTTAAACAAAGTTATAAGGGATATACCTGTACTATCTGCCCCTCTTTGTAATGTCTCTTTATTCTGTCCTACTCTCTCTCTCTGTCTCTGCCTGTCTCTGTCTGTCTGTCTCTCTTACTCTCTCTCTCTTTCTGTCTCTCTCTCTCTCTCTCTTCTGTCTCTCTCTCTTTCTGTCTCTCCGTCTCTCTCTCCAGGCAATTGGGTGACCTCCAGAAAGAAGCGCTAGAGAAAGGACTGATCAGCGATTGATGGCAAGCAAAGTGTTATGGATCTCTTGCTTTTACATGCAGACATTAGTTGCACCCTCTCTATTGTGATGTCACAAAGAGTCCAGGCATCCATTTGAACTTGTGCTACTGGGCAAGGAGGAGGTCACCTTCATCAGAAGGGGTCAGTTGAAGAATGGTGGACAAATTGGGTTTATGACTTATCCTATAGATGAAGGCACTGTTAAGAGCATTAGTTTGACGTAGCTCACACTGTACAATGTACATGAATAGTAAAATTTCTCTTGTAAACCGCAAGTTAAATTTGAGACTTGAGTTGCTTATAGATGCCAAGAACAAATAGTAAAGTTGTTATGGTTAACATTATTGAATATGTTGATGGCTACTTACATGTAGATGTATGACAAAAGTAGCTTGTATTTAGCCATTTTTCCTCAGGTTACGCAGTACACACCAGCCAAATACCAACTTTATTACCGCAATTCCCACAAACATACTTCAACTTGTTTTCTCGAAAATAGCAACGACAATAGTCATACTAAAGTTTTTTGTCTTGTCCTCGTGATTTTTCTGTTATATTTATTAAAAGCTTCCAATTTCTTGTATCTGATCTATCACTGCATTATTTAGTGTGCTAGAAATCGTACTTTTTCCATACTTTGTTGTTCTCATGTCAGTCATGTCTCTCTGTTGAACGTCATGTTAGAATTGATGTGTACTTTTAGAGTCTACATCATAAACACAGTAAGTGTAGTTTCGGGAATATAAAAGCTAGCTATACATGCCAAATGCATGCATTTTATGAAGTACGATTCTAGCTTCTTACATGTCAAGTGAATAGACATGACACATGTACAGGTACTTGTAAAAAAAAAGGTAGTTATTTCACAGAATTGGTAGCACTTGGTAACACTGTTGGAAACTTTGGGGAAAATCATGTCTGAAATTATAATCAACTTGAATATTGTGCCCTAGCTTGGACCTTTTAGAGGCTGTTTAAAGGACAATAGTTTGTTCACCTTCCCCCAAACTTGTTTAATTTGAGTATATGGAGGCCTTTAAAGTTTAAAGGTTTATTTATTTCCATTTTGATTCATTCCAAAGAGATGAGGCATAAAGGTTGTATTTTATAATGATTTTACCATATTTGACATATTCCTAATATCAAAGATGTGTATGGTGCAAAATGAGGTTTGGAATATCTCCTTTTTTTCCAAGGGCAATAATGAACCAAGACTATTCATAAGAAGAAAAGATTTAAAACAATTTTATATATAAAGTAAAGTAAAGAGTACTTCTTCATTTGTCTATGCTGGGGGTGTTTCACAAAGATTCTAAGTTGGACTTAACAACTATGGAAAGCCGTTAGCATCTATGAAAATATTTTGTAAAAGTTATTTTAAAAGGCATAAAATATTGTTTCAAGTAATTCATATTTTGTAAAAGTAAACATTTGTAAAAAGTCTAAAGCACTTGAATTTTTGCTTTTGAATATATTTAAATTAAAGACTACGAAGGGCTCTCCATAATTTTTAAGTCCAGCTTAATTTTAAGTTCAACTTTAGATCTTTGTGAAACACCCCCCAAAAGGATCACAATTTTATTTCAGGTTGATGAAAACTAGTTAATAAGTTGGCATTTCATAACTTTGGAAGTTGGTGATTTTAACTTTGCGTTTTCTTGAACACTTTTTGAGCAGTTTGGATTTGCAATTCTTTAAGAGACAGAGCCCAGATGTTTCCCTACTTAATATAAATCTTGCCACATTCCAATTTGTGTATGTTTAAAGTAAATTATAAAATTGAATCATTATAGTACATGTACCTGTAGGTCATTATGTTACATAAACTTTTGAATTTCAATTCAGTACAGATTTATGAGATCATTTTTTTTTCTATTCCACCAGGGGGGTGTTTCACAAAGATTCTAAGTTGGACTTAAAAATTATGGAAAGCCATTAGCATCTTTGAAAATATTTTGTAAAAGTTATTTTGAAAGGCATAAAATGTTGATTCAAATCATTCATATTTTCTATCATCAAGGAGAGTTCATGTTCTGGATGTGGAATTTATAAAAAGTCTAAAATACTTGAATTTCTGCTTTTGAATATATTTCGTTTTAAGGCTCCAATGGCTGTCCATAACTTTTAAGTCCAACTTAGTGTTAAGTTCTACTTAGTTCTACTTAGGATCTTTGTGAAACACCCCCCAGGTTGATATTTGTTGTGATAATTTTCTTTTAGTATGTCCTATATGTAGTTCTAATATCCCCTAAAAATTTATGAAAACTGATGTGCAGATAAATAGACCATCTTTGTTGTTAGGTAGGAGAAGCCAAAATGTTTGTTCTGCCTCGCAACTATTAATGTATGTAATTGGCATTATGAATATTGAAATAATTTGTAATGAGGCACTTAAAGAGAAGGTCGAGTTCTTGGGAGAAGTGACAAATAATTTATAAGCGTTTTCATTATTATTTCAATGTGAAACCATCTTCATGTTCTAAATATGACATGTAGGAGCTTTAAAATGTGTACAGTGCTTGTCACTTTTACCAAGACTGTGCCAAAGTTTTCTGATCGATTCTACACCGCTTCTTTCACAATGCGATTGCTTGACCAAGTCAATTTAATTTGAATTAACAAAGTTGTATATGCATTAAATTTGATTACATTACGAAAATGGTCTATAGATAAGTAGGTGTTCTGTGCCGGTTTCCTTTATACAGAGGTAATGGTAGTGGCCAGTATAGACAAGTGGTCTTTCCATCAGGTTCAACTGCATTCAGCTATCTGCAACGTCTTGCATTTTCTTGTCTATTTTTTCCAGTGTCTGTATATGTTTTGAACTCATGAATTTGTAGGTCGTCATCAATGTTATAAATGATATTAACTGTATTGAGATATATTTTAGCAATTTTTAATGTGCAAGAAAGTGCAAAAGTACTGATATATGTTATACTGTTCAACAATGATGTTTATTGTAAATAGAAAATGCAAATTTATGCTAAATGTATCTATTATTAAATATTAAGATGAACCAATTATCCATTGTCATTCTGTCTACACTTTTTGTATTAGCTATACATTGAAAATTCGTTCCTCACTCCTTTTCTTTTCTCAGTAGTCCCCTTTCTGCAACTCCCATTTTTCTCTCGCTCTGTATCTCAATGTATGTCATTCACTTTTGTGTAATTCAATCTATAAAGTACCGAAGGGTGATGTCATACTGGCCAAGCTATCAAGTTTGCTGGTTCCAAACCATTTTGTGCTGAACAATGGTGTGGTGATCACACCAGCCCTAAACCCTGAATTTGCCCTGCTCCAGTCTGCTGCTTGAATGGTTTCGTGGTGAACCTCATGTTCATGCTCTGTTGTTTAGAACCAGTAACCTGGACGACGAGCGAAAAAAACGTTAGCCCTGTGGTACTCTGTCTCTTGTGAGCCAGAAGGGCAACTTCAACTGACCCCATCTGGTGAAGGTGACTTTCTCCTTACCCATTAGCACAAGCCAAATGAATGCCTTGACTCTTTGTGACATCACAAAAAAGACTTGTATACTATAGAGTTATGCCCCTCTGGCTCTCAACAGACAGTTTGATCTACACATTAAAAACACATCCCTTCACTCTCTTTCCTTGCACAATTACCCCCTTTGGGCATTTACCTTTCTCTCTCTATCTCTGTCTGCCCCTTTCTATCTTTATCTATGGCTGCCTCTCTTACTCTGTCTCTCTATCTATCTATATCACTGTCTCTCTTTATCTATCTCTATCGCTGTCTCTCTATCTCTATCGCCTTCTCTCTGTCTGCCCCCTCTCTCTATCTATCTCTATCACTGTATCTCTGTCTCATTCTATCTCTATCTCTTTCTGCCCCTCTCTATCTCTGTCTTGATCTCTTTCTGCCCCTTCTTATCTATCTATCTCTATCACTGTCTCTCTGTCCGTCTCCCTATCTCTATCTGCCCCTCTCTCTCTCTGTCTCTCTTTCTCTCTGTGTCCGTCTCCCTATCTCTGTCAGCCCCTCTATCTCTGTCTTGATCTCTTTCTACCCCTCCTTATCTATCTCTATCGCTGTCTCTCTCACTGACTCCGTCTTCTTCTCCTGGTAATCTTCAAAGGGCTATGGAGCCTATCACGAGTCTGTCTCTATCTCTCTCTTTTGCAAATAACTGGAATTTTTGTTATTAAAACAATACATAAAATCTGGCATCAAATTTTATACAGCATGCATTGACCATACACTGAAAGAAGCCATGAAGAAGCAAGAAAGATGAAAGAGGGAGTGAGTGCAAGTGAGACAGATAGAGAAGGAGAAAGAGAGACAGCGATAGATTCAATGTAGAAGGGCAGACAGAGACAGACAAACAGAGAGAGAAAGAGATACAACGATAGAGATAGAGTGGGGCAGAGAGAGAGAGACAGACAGAGAAACGAAGAGAGAAAGAGATAAAACGATAGAGATAGAGATGGGCAGAGAGAGATAGACGGACAGACAAACAGAGAGAGAAAGAGATACGATAGAGATAGAGTGGGGCAGAGAGAGACAGACAGGCAGAGAAACGAAGAGAGAAAGAGATAAAACGATAGAGATAGAGATGGGCAGAGAGAGATAGACGGACAGAAAAACTGAGAGAGAAAGAGATATGATAGAGATAGAGAGGGGCAGAGAGAGAGACAGAGACAGACATACAAAAGGAGAGAAAAGAGATACAATGATAGAACTAGAGATGGGCAGAGAGAGACAGACAGACAGAGAAACGAAGAGAGAAAAGAGATACAATGAGAGAGATAGAGAGGGGCAGAGATAGACAGACAGAGAAACTGAGAGAGAAAAGAGATACGATGATTGAGATAGAGAGGGGCAGAGAGAGACAGAAAAACGGAGAGAGAAAAGAGATACAATAAAAGAGAGAGAGACAGACAGAGAATGAGAAAGAGATGGAGAGATAACGAGAGAGAATGCAGTCTGCACACAAAATGAAGATGATATACTCAGGATGAAAAACAGTCAAAAGGCATGTAAGAAGCACATAATGAATGCTGACATAAACACAAGAACTGATTGCTTGGGTTCTTTCTATTTTTATGAATTTACTGGCAAAATTGTTCACATTTATGACACAAGATTTCACATTGCATTAACAAACTGATGATTTCCAGTTCAACAAATATTCAGAGTAGAAGTACAATTATAAAGCTACAAACCTATTCAAATACATGTAGTCAACATACCACCAAAGATGAAATAAACAAAAGTGACAATTCAACAGAAATAGGTCCACAATATTTGACTGGAATAACCAAGGAGATGAACAATATTAATTATACCTAAGTCCGAAATACAGACTGATACACAAGCGCTACTTGGACAAAACTATTGGGCTGAATGCATTGATCTGTGAATTAGAAATATACAATATGTGTTCTTCAGCATTGAGTGATTAACACATCTGATATGAAAGCAGGTAAGTTTTTTTTTAATATTTTTTTTTTTTTTAAATGGCCACCCTGACCTCAATATTCAACGATTCATTACCAATCAGAATAAATGAAGCTTATTTGGTTAACGAATGAGAGCAAAATTAACATGAAATCACAAAGACTAAGATCGACTTTAAGTTGGCCTTAACTATGGCAGGCCATTTATGCCACTGTTTGCTCTTACCATTTTAAATACTGGCATTGGTCTCTCAAGGGACGTACAAATCATGGTCACAAATCTACAGAATTTACATTTTTTGATACTTCATTATTGAACAAAAAAATATAATCTAAAGATCATAATGATGAGAGCAAACAGGTGCATGAACGGCCTGCCATAGTTAAGTCCAGCTTTGAAATAAGTTCGAATTAGGATCTTTGTGAAACACCCCCTATGGCCTACATGTATGTTCATAAAACCTAAAGCTAGCTGTCAACTAATTACATGTATAGATTATAGTACAGAATTAGTCGACAACTTCATCATAGGCTTAGTAAGGTTTTATGATTATGGGATTATTTTCAAATATTTTGAGATTTCATTCATACAACTTGAACTACAATTTCTCTTGACAACCAAAGACATTGCCAGAGGACTACCTGAGGATAACCTGGTATAGCAACAACCAATGTATTTAAGATAGAAAGATACCATCCAAATTATATGCTTCCACACATAACAGATGAATAGATGTTTCTTTCTTGGTATCATGGGAAAAACCTTTAACAATAACTTAGAAGATAGAGGTGAAATGTAAATTTTATAAAGTAAGATCCATAAATATGAATCTGTGAATAAAGGGCATATTTTCACAAAACCACCATAAGTACAAGTTCACCGACAACCCAATGATACGTGACAACCCAATTTAACATGCTTTTCGATGGGATACCGGTGAACCGTGAACTTGTACTTATGATGGTTTTGTGAAAGGGTGCCAAGGCTGATTAAATCCATTTATGAATCACTAAACATTTGAAATTACAGAAATAAAGTGATGATGATGATGATGATGATGATGATGAACAGCATTTGTATAGCGCCATTTATCTGCAAAAGCATTCAAAGGCGCCTGGCTCCCTCAATATGTCACATATTATTCGCAATGTTGCCGGAAAAGATAGGTTTTGAGTTCAGATTTAAAGGTATCAATGTTGTTACAATTTCGAAGTTGGACAGGTAGAGAGTTCCAAAGATGCGGAGCAGATGAAGAGAAGGCTCTATCCCCGTATGTTTTTAGACGGGTACTGGGCACTTGAAGAACGAGTCCCGCACAGCGTAGTCCTGGTCGTAGCTGACGTACACTGATGAGAGCAGATACATAGCCAGGGGACAAGTTATGTAGAGCCTTAAATGCAAGCAGCAAGATCTTATACTGCAC